GCGGATATCGGGTGACCCGCCCGTCCTGTCCAAGTGTAGGCAATCAACAACCCTCCACGCGCCCGCGTGAGGAGTTCTGCATTGCCAGCAGTCAAAACGTCGATCTGTTGGCACAGAAATTGAAGCTGCTTGCAACGCTGACCGAGTGGATGTCGAGTGACCCGCCTGAAGCGTCTAGCGTTGTCGATGTGGGGCTTCCCACGCGCGCGCGTGCCCGCGCGGGGAGTTCTGTATAGACATCATTGGAAAGGTCGCTTTGTTGGCTTGGAAGATGCGGCAAGCCCATCACGATGGCCGACCAGATGTTTTCCTAGCGTGGACGACGCAGGGCCCTCCGCGCGCGCGCGTGCCCGTGCGGAGTGCTGCATCGCCTTGATTTTGAAAGGTCGCCTTGTTGGCTTGGGAGCTGAAGCGAACCCATCACGGTAACCGAGCGGATGCCGGGTGACCCGCCCCAACGCGTCCAACGCAGGCAAGGCGGACTTCTCCAGGACCGCGCGGGTGCCCGCATGGAGAATATTGTTTCGCTTGTAATTGAATTAGCTTTGCTGATTTGGACATTAAATTGGGTCTCGAATGGAGGCCCGCCCAGCTTGTCCAGTGGGGGAAATGCAGAACTCGCCGTGCACACGTGCGCGCGGGGGGTACGCAACAGAAAATTGAGAAGTCGCCCTGCCCGCCTGGGAACTGAAATTAACCTTTAACGGTGGCCGAGTTGATTTTGAATGACTTGCTCGACTTGTCCGTTGCGGACAACGCAAGATTCCTCCCACGCGCGCGCACCCGCGTCGAGAGTTCTGCATTGTCGGCACTGGAACAGTCGCCTTGCAGGCCCAGCGTCAGCATAGAATCTTTGGTGGCGACCGAGCGGGTGCCGGGTAGCCCACCCGACTTGTCAAGCGTGGACAATCTCGAATCGTGCGCGCGCGTGCCTGCGGCGAGATTTGTATGACCTGCCCGACTTGGCGAGCGTGGACACTATAGGGCCCCCCCCACACACACGCGCGCGCGCGCGTGACCGCGTGGAGAGTTCCGCATTGCCCACGATACACAAGTCGTTCTGTTGGCAAGGAAACGGATGTGATCTCTTAGCTGTTGCCGAGCGGGTTTCGGGTGACCCGCACGACTCGCCTCGCGTGGACAATGTTGAATTCCCCACGTGCGCGCACGGTCCACACTAGAACAGGTGCCCTGTTGGCCGAGCAGATTCCGGATGGCCCGCCCACAATGCCGTCGGGGCCTTCGGTGGGCCCCGCTAAGCGTGAGAGGGTTGTGACGAATTGGGTGCGGGCACGCCAGGCGGACCCTGCCGCTGGGGCCTTCGGTGGAGCTCCCTACGTGGCCACGAAACGTGTGAGATGTGTGCCGAATCGGGTGCGGGCACGCCAGGCGGACCTTGCCGCTGGGGCCTTCGGTGGAGCTTCCCACGGGTCCACGAAAAGTGTGAGGTGTGTGTGTGTGAAGGGTGCGAGATGATGATGTTGATGATGGTGATGTGATGGTGATGATGATGGTGGCGGTGTTGGTGTTGATGACGGTGATGATGATGGTGATGACGATGGTGATGGTAATTGTAATGGTAATGATGATGATGAGGCTGATCATGCTGATGATGGTGATGATGATTATGATGGCGATGATGATGATGCTGATGTTGATGGTGGCAGTGTTGATGATGATGAAAATGTGGTGATGATGCTGATGATGGTAATGATGATACTGGCAATGATGGTGATGATGTGATGGTGATGTGGTGATGATGGTGGTGATGATACTGATGACGATGGTGATGGTGGTGATGATGATGATGATGATGATAATGGTGCTGGTGCTGGTGCTGGTGATAGTGATGATGACGCTGGTACGATCATGATGATGGTGATGGAGGGCGGAGGGGGAGGAGGAGAGGGAGGAGCAGGAGGAGGTGGAGGAGGAGGAGCAGGAGGAGGAGGAGAGGGACGCGGGGACTGTCTCTTCAAAACGAGGGCCCAATACCACAGGATGGTTGTCAACAACTCCTCGTCAGGCTGTCCAGATGATTGCGAATCTGATCCAGCCTGTTGGTGCGAGCGAACAGGCGCCCACCCTCCAGCAGCAGATTGGCCACTCGCCTGAACCTCCTGTCCTGGTCGCAGTCGTCCATCTCGAGCCTGGGGGTGTAACTGTGCAAGACCGCGTCCACCAAGCGCAAGTGTCGGGCACATCTGGTCGCCGTACTCCGTGCTGGTTGCGGTAAGCGCTGCCTGCGGACACACCTTCAGTTTCTCCCCTTCCACAAGTCGTCATGAGCTCCTGCCCGCCTTTCAAACTTGGTTCGTGCAGGTCTCATGATGTCGTGCCTATCCAACAGTTCGCACTCCGCGTCTTGCAGGAAGATGCCCCAGAACTCGCTCAGGTCCTCCCCATTCTTGGCCAATCTGGCTCGGTCATGCAAGTATGGCCGTATTCGGGGAAACCTTGCGCATCCTGCTTTAGCAATTTGGAATTGATATCGGACGTCGCGACCCTCAAGACCACAACTCAGTATTCACGCCAGCAATGCTTATACTCACAGATTTGCGCGGAGCAGCGTCTGTTCAAGCACCCGTTCCACGTCTGCTCTGATCGTTGGGTTAAAACTCATCGCATAAAAAATCATGGTCGTACCTGGCACGCTCTGAGTACATGCAGCTGACGCCGGCGCCGAAACCACCCCTCCGACGGAAGAAACATACGCCATCAAACAATATGGTTCCATATGAGAGTAAGCACCCAGCAGCCATTCCCATCCTAATTCCTGAACCATCTTGAGGTACGAGGACGAGGCGATATTCGCGAGAATGGCGACGCTCGTTGGTCCCAACCTTTTCAACCTGAAGGTATCTACTGACGACGACGAAATCAACCCACACCGCCGCGTGCACGTGCGCTGCCACCGTACATGCTGGAATAAGAAGCCATTCAAACAGTGCGGGGCGAATGTGACCTGCATGTAGCCAGAACTGCGACTCCTCCGCTAGTGCCATCCTCCTCCGTATTTGTTGCCCCAGCCCAGATCCCGTGATACATTGTTGCTGCAGCACGTGCATGGAAATTTGGAAGCCAGCCAGTTAGATGATGTGCTTGAGTACACGGCGCCATGGCCTCCTCCGCTAGCGGCGTCGGTTTCGACTCCCTCAGCTTGGCCAAGGGACCGTGCGACGCTGCGCGCGGGGCGAGCCTTCTTGGCGAAACTCGAGCCATGCATCTGCACGCTTCGTCTCTTCTCGGAGCCGCTGTTATCAGCCTGGCACTCAGATGTTGATTGGCCTGAGGAGCTCGCGAAGCACCTTTGGGTCATCCGGGCTTTGCGGGCATCCACCCATGACCTGCCGCGGCTGCCGGCTCCAGGACAACCTGCCACTGGAGCTGTTCCTGGGCCGTTTGCCTCTGGAGCCGCATCGGGCGCCTCAGCGCCTGCAGCACGTCGGGGCTCCTCCGCCCGCTGCACCCTCTGCTCGCTGAGCGGCCTCTCGTCATTGCGACCTTCTTCCAGCACCTCGTGCGTCCTCTTGGCCGTGCCTTCTGCAGCTCCGAAGCCCTGCCATAGCTCGCCCAGGCGCTCGATCGACAAGTCCGCTGCTGCCCCAGCAGCAGCTGCTGAAGTGTGTGTCGCCTCGCTCCCCTTCTAGTGGCAGGAGAGCCTCCGCCCATCTTGAGCAGCTCCTGTTTCGCGTGCGTCAAGGCCTGCTGCGCCTCCTGCACCGCATGCTGGGCGGCCGCTCCTTGAGCTTGGCGCGCGCCTCCCTGACCTCCGCCGCGTTGATATCCTTAGTCGCCTCGGTGTGTGCCGCGCTATCGGCCAATTACCGTCCCGCTTATGATTAAGAAGCCTCCCCCCGAAAAGCTGGCCCAGCGTTTCTTGACCAACTTGCCGGAAAGCTGGCTCGGTTTCTTCAGGGGATTGGTAGTTTCCGGTTCCGGTTCGCGCCGGTTCGGTTACAAAAAAAACAGCACGATTCGGGTTCGGATGGGGGAACAGGTATAACACCTCAGTACAGTGAGAGAATGTGAAGGTACCCTTTGCCTTGGCAGGCGCATGTGCGAGCTCTGAGCTGTCGGAGGCCGCTTCTCCCCCGGGGCCAAATTGTAAGTCCTGAGCGAAACGCTGCCGACTTGCGCCAAGATGGCTACGGACGGAGGAAGAGGAAGAGGAGAGGAGGAGGAAGAGGCAGAGGAAGCGGAAGAGGGGGAGACGGAGGAGGGCAAGGAGAGGGAGTAAGGAGGAGAGAGGAACAGACGGGAGGGGGAGAAAAAGAAAGAGGTGGAGGAGGGAGGATCGGTACGCAGCTGGGGCGAGAGTGACGGCTCCTTGTTTTCCTCAATCATTTCTCATCCTTTCTCGCCCCCGCTCCTCCCGATGGGTTTCCTCTTCCTCCTCCGTTCTGTCCTCCTCTCCCTCCTCACCTTCATCGCCGTATTCCTTTGTATATTCATCCGCATCCTCATGTTACTCTTTCTTACCCTTCTCCGCTCTCTCCCCCTCCTTCTGTTCCTTTACCCACCTGTTCTGCAGCGTCATCGTCAAGTTACTCGGCCGCACCAAGAGTTTCCTTCGAAATTCGGAAGAGACGCTCTCCAGAGCATGTACCCGTCAATACGTTATTTTAACGGAGGTGAATTATGGAAGGGAATGGTAATTCCAAACGGAAGGGAATGGTAATTCGCTAGGCTAAGCCAATGCCTCCGACTATGAGAACACATCAGGAGTGCGGAATTCCGCCGGGTGACCACGAAAGACGGTTGATATGTTAGGCGTTCAGGGTGGTGGGTGGGTCCGGGTGGGTTCAGCGCCTTCTGGGCGTCGGGGCCGCTGTCGCTGTGAGGTCATCCTCGCGGGCATTGTATGCAATCGGGGGATAGACAAACAAATCGTGAGCCCGTGTTCGTGGGCGAGTCGACACAATTCCAGGAATTCGCGCAACGGCGATGTATCCCCTGCTCCCCGTCCTCCACCACCGCCCAGTCTATATGTTTCATCGTTGTAGTTGTTATACATGGCGTATGTGCGTACTGTCCTCCTTCACCTCCCTGTCTCGTTCTCGCCCGCGGCCTCGCGCCCCCCCCCCCGACCCCAGGACCTCACGCGCTCACGCGGGCGCAGCAGCCACGATCTGCTCGAGAGGTTCGACGAGAAGCAGAGGAGCGACGCAGTCGCAGACGGCAAGGACTTCTGTTTGCCCTGTTCCCCATCATGCCCCGCAGCATCATCATCATCATCATCATCATCATCATCATCATCATCATCATCATCATCATCATCATCATCATCATCATAATCATAATCATCATCATCATCATCATCATCAGCATCAGCATCAGCATCAGCATCAGCATCAGCCTCATCATCATCATCATCAGCATCTGCATCATCCTCATCTTCATGGCGAGCGCCACACTGCGCCGCCCCTCCTTGGGAGAGCGCGGCCATCCAAGCATCATCGCCATCATCACCATCATCGCAACGATCGTTCCTCGCATGTAATTCCCCCGTTCCCCCCTCCACGCTACAGGTGCTATCATGCTCGCCCCTGTCCTCATCGTGCTCACCTCGCAAGGTGCTTGTATTATTCCTCTCAGTATCATCATGTTCGGGGCGTCTCCCGCCGTCCTCGTGTCATTAACGAGATTGCCGCCCCAACATCTGCACAGAGCAGTTGGGGGGGGGCGGGGGCGATCCCATTCTCGAGGCCCTCATGAGGCTCATGGGCGTACCCATCCAATGGGGGGGGGGGCGGGGGGCGGGGGGCGATGCCATTAGCATTGGGGGGGACACGGCCCTAGATAATAGGTCGCCCGCTGTAAGCACTATAACCCCCCTTTACTTAAAACAATAAACCATGTGAATTAGATTAGTAAGATTGGTCGAGTGCCCACGGACACCCTCACCCGTGACGCCGCCGAAGCAGCTTTGTGGGCTCAAGTTTTCCCACCCCGCCCCGAGAGCAATGGTATATAAATATGGCATCAGCCAGTCTCCGCTTCCAACCCACGTAGTACATAGCCCCCGGCTCCAACACAACACCCAAATAATTACTCAACCATTTGCGATCCGAGTGCACCTTCACAGTACGTTATACTGGACACTCCTCGTCTCCTGCACAGTACCATGTAATACACCGTCTCCGCATCCACCACATCGCCCAACTAATCGACAGCTTCCACCCCAGTTGCAAGCCAACAGAACATTAGAATGGCCCCCGTCCGTTCAAACACAGCACTCATGTAATACATTGCCTGCGGACTCCGCATGCAAGACGACACCCACGCACTGAACAGCAATCCGCCCCACTTTCACCTCAAAAACAACATTGGATTGCGCAGCCTACGTTTCCAACGCTACACCCATGTACTACACAGCATGCGACTCGAACACAACACCAGCGTACTCAACAGCCTCTGACCCATCTGAACCCGTTCGGTACTAGGCACGCTCCGTACCCAACGTGGCACCCATGTACTACACAGGCGCCGCCTCCACGACAACAACAAAGTATTCAGCAGCATCCGAACCATAGACTAAGCGTGATATGTTTCCAATGCGCCACCCATGTACTACACAGCCTCCGCATCCATCACAACACCCAAGTACACAGAAGCATCAGCCCAAAACGTAAAATGACAGCATTATTGTAGTACACGCCATTGGTTTCCATCACGCCACCCATTCTTACGCAGGCCCTGCCTCTAATACGACACCCAAGTATTCAACTGCCACCGCTTCAAGCATACAGCATGGGTACGGCGTGCATCGTGGCCTTGTTAAGTTTGCCCCTTCTTGCAAATTCCGTGAGGAAAGGCAGATCACGGGGGACATGTAAATCTCAATGTGCATGTGTATTTGCACACATTTAGATGGATGAGTGTGCATATCTGCGTAGGGGACGTTATGCCATAATGTAATAGTCCCTGCTGCCTCCTCGTTCTCCTCGTCATCATTTCAATGTTTCATCACTTTAACCCTCCTCCCCCCTCCCCTTCTATTCCGCATATATCCTCGTTTTCCATATGTTCCTCCCTACGTTCCCCCATCCCACCCACCGGATCCCATGTCTCTTTCCTCCTGGGATGTGTTTACAGCTGTTGAAGTTTGTCGCATCCAATGGTGGCACGGATCGAAGGCGCAGGGTTTTCAACATGTGGTTTTCGCCTTAGCGTTGGGATCGCCCATTTCCACACATTTCCAACAGTTGCACTGATTGAGGGCGAGTCGTTTTCAACATGTGGTTCTCGTTCCAGCGCCGCGCACTTCCCACAGTTCCCGCAAGCTCCATGGCGGACCCTCTGCAAAATCGGGCTCTCGAATGCGCACCCCGCGCATGCGCCTTACAGCCTTGCAACAGCTGCACGGATGGCAAGTCGTTGTCCACCTGTGGTTCCCGCCTTGGTGCCGCGCACACTCGTCGCAGATGCGTCCACGGGCCCAAAGGATGCACAGCCGTGCGCAGATCTCACCACAGCTCCACGGGTGGAGGGCGTGCCCGTTTCCAAAGACGATCCTCGCATCGGTCCCACGCGCATTCCTTTGCTCAGAGTTTTCACCAGCTGCAGGTTAGGTCAGAGTTTTCACCAGTTTTCTCAGAGTTTTCTCAGAGTTTTCTCCAGTTTTCTCAGAGTTTTCTCGCGGTTAGGTCTCAGAGCGGCTCTCTCGCCGCAGCGCCGCACACGTCTGTTTCAGAACTGCTCACGAGCTACCAGGGGGCGGCATGCGAGGACGGACGACGGCTCGTTGTCGACATGGGGCTCTCGTTTTGGGGCAACCTCAGGCAAAGCGGCCCGACATCTCTACGATCGCAACAGAGAGTCACGGACGGGGAGTGGCTCCTTCTCAGAATGGGACTTTCGTTTGGGGCAGCCTCGAACAAAGCGGCCCCATATCTGTACGAGCGCAACGCACAAAGTCGCGGACGTGGCGTGGTTCCTTCTCAGGAGGGGGATGACCCGAAGTGTAGAAAGTGTTGAGCAGCAGCTGCGCCGATGTGATGGCGGGCGGCTCCTTCTCTCGAGCCCGGTGCTCGGCTGGCGCTGGGCCCTCGCATGTCATGGTCATGCTTTTTCGTGGCCCTCGCAGCTCGAAGAGCGCAGGGCTGCCAAAACCGCGCTCTTCGCCTGCCCGGCACACACACACAGCGTGGCCCACGGTGCGCCCCTCTCTCGAGGGGGCGCGTCCCGGAGCGAACAGGAATGCCTGTGGGGCTTCTGAGGAGGGGGCACCTCATCATCGACGCATCGTGGGCTTACTCTGGTCCTCCTCCTCCTCCACCTTCACTGTAGTGTGGAGAAAGTCCCCCTTCCTAGTCCTCCCACCCCTTCCTGTCCTGCCTCCTCCGCCTATCCTCCGCCCTCCCCGCCTTCCTTATCTTTCTCCTCGCCTTCCCCGTACTCCTCCGTCATTCCTCCTCCTCGTGCTCCTCTCCTCCTCCGCCCCCCCCACGTCATCCTGCCTCTTCCGCAGCCTCCTCCTCCTCCTCCTCCTCCTCCTCCTCTTCCTCACCTCCTCTTCCGCCTCCTCCCCTCCCTACCCTCCCTCGCTCCTAGCTCCCCTCCTCCTCCTCCTCCTCCTCCTCCTCCTCCTCCTCCTCTTCCTCCTTCCTCCCCCCTCACGCTACGGTCAAGACGCCGACATGACGATACGGAGGGGGGCTCGCTGTTCTTCAGGTCCCTCACTTCGCTGCCCCTCCTGTGCTCCTAGTGCCACCTGGCGCGTCTGAGGCCAACGAGGGGCTCCGTTCCTCACCCAGCGCTCTTTATACCCTTAAGTTGGGCCTGTCCCTCTACAGGAGGGATATCCAAGAATAGTCAAAAATAGTATGGGGACGATGTCTTGACTATTTGGAGTATGTTTTGAATACTTCACTTTGTCGCCCAATATACCCCTGTAGGGGGACAGGCCCGACCTAATTAGAGCCCCAGACATGCAGTGCCCTCATCATTTGTTCAGTGCGGGGCCCCAAGAAGTCCCGACCCATTCCCCAAGGCCGGCTTTTCATCCCGAGCCGTTTTTTGACGGTCCCAGGGCTCGGCGAGGGGCCCCAGAGGCCGGGCATTGCCAGAAACCTTCCGCCGCGATTCGGGTGTCATGGTGTCCCCCCGCCCCCCCCCCCCTCGCCAAGCAAGAGACCCGCGCGCGACGCATCCGGCACTGCCAGCGAGATGGCGCTCGACTCGAGCCTCCCCGCTCGCAGCTGGGCAAGCCGCGACAGCGCCTCCCGCCAGCGCCCGCCCCTCGCGCACGAGCTGATCCTAGCGCTGAGGGCGGCGACTTCTGGCGCCAGCCCGCCCGCCCCAGGGAAAGAAGAAGCCGCACTGTTGTTTTGGATTGCATGTAAAACGAGACTGGAGTTCGGAACCGGCTGCACCCCCCCTGGCAAGGACTACTGCAAGTCAAGCGGGCAGCACACCGTGCGCGTCGGGGGCGTCCCCTTCATCGCAGGCGTGAAGCGCAAGGAGCTCGAGCAGCAGCGCGAGGAGGAGCCCGACTGGCGGCAGGCGGCGATGCGCGAGGAGCAGAGAGCGCAGGAGCCGCCACCGGAACACACAGAAAGCAGTTTGCCCGACGAAGGGGGGCCTTGCCTGGCGATGGCGATGCACGTACAGCAGCGTGCGTTCTTGGAGCGAGCATGGCGCAGATGCTGATTCGGTTCTTCCACCATTCATGCTGACGAGTGGCACGTTTTTGTCGTGTGAGTTTGTTTTACCCTTGTGGTCTTCTTGGGCCATACCGCGGTCGGCTTGGGCACCTCGGACTTCGTTGTTGTTGATGGCGCTGAGGGCATGTTTCTGGACCCCCCTCTTGTCACCGAAGAATCGGCGCAAACGTTGAAAAACTGCTCCTCACAAGCAGGGCGTCAAGCAGGCGACAGGGCTGGACCTAAACGGTGTTTTGGCGATTTCGTGGCGCCCGTGTCGGTTTCTATGTCGTTTTGGTAAAGGCGGATTGTAGACAAAACGAAGGAAAATCATAACAAAACGAAAACGAAAAACACCGTCTAGGTTCAGCCCTTGCAGGCGACATGATGATACCCAAAAAGTTGTTTTAACCATCGGACAGCAAGCAGGCGGGCCACGGTCCGATCCCGGATCCCACACAACGTAACAACAAGAGCGCCCGAAGTTGCAAGCAGGGCAACAAAAACGCCCTCAGCGTTTTTTTTCGCGAACGTCTACACATTGTTCATTTCTCATTATTCGAGAGTTCTTTAATTTTTTTGGGGGGGGCAGATCATTGTATTTCTAATTGTTCTATCCTGGGCCTCTTCCTGGCCACTATGGGGCCAGGACCAATTAGAAACAAACACAATTAGAAATGAACACGATTAGAAACAAAAACGACGTGTACGACCTCAGCCCTCGCACATACACGACAGTTGCGCAGATGGCAAGCCCCCCACGGGGCGGCGAGGTCTCGAGGT